TTAAAGGGGGGAAGCCTCCTCTTTGCACCGCGCTTCCTTCTGCTGCACGGAGGGGAGTTTCACTGAGTGTCAGATCACGAGGTAACCTGGGGTTAAACGCAGTGGGGGGCTTTGACTCAGTGTGTTTTCCATTTCTGCAGGGTTGGCGTGTTGGAGGACACCTTCACCTGCCTCGGTGTTCTGTGTGCCATTGTGTTCTTTCCAATTGGGATTCTGTTCTGTCTGGCACTGAGGCAGCGAAGATGCCCAAATTGCGGGGCGGCTTTTGGCTAAGAGGGCTGAACGTGGACGTGCTATGGAAGCTACAACTGTTAGCGTACTCTTTCTAATGTAAATGTCATGTACAATCATTTTATTTGCTTCAGACCTGTTTTGTAAAGTGTGAAGAAATTTAGTCTCTTGCATGTAATTTAAACTTAATCTTTTATGAGCATGTGCATTGCAAAACATGAAAACCGACCTTGTTTTCCATGTTTAGTGGCACCTCTTGAAAACTAAATAAAACTGCTTTTCCTTTTGCAATCCTCAACTTGTGGCTGGATTATTAAATATGTGACAAACGTGTCTGATAACGTGTTTAGTATGCAAGTGAAGTTAATAATCCTAGCTACAGACAGGGATGGAAAATAGTGGTGTTTTTGGGTTGTACATGTAAGGTGAGGGGATGTATTTGCCTCCCCACGTGGATCCCTTCATCTGCAGGCTTTTGAGGAAAGCGGTGCGAATGCTGTCTGTGCTACCACCATGGAATAGGTGTGGGTGAGCATATCTTCCATCTGCAGAAGGCTGCTCAGAGCCTTGGTTTAGTGAGGGCAGGTGCTGCTGAGGGCACAAGTGTTATCTCCAAGGGTTTGCAGCAGCAAGTCCTACCTGCTGCAGCAGTGGTTTCTACACCACCAATAGTTTCTGGCTGCAGAAGGGAATGCTTACCCAAGAAGAGAGGCTGAGGCACTGCTCAGTTCCAAGAATAAAGGTTTAGGCATGTCATTGTTTCATTCTGATAAGGAACTGTTGGAGGCTTATGGTCTTTGACTTGCCTTTCTAATGTTCTGGCTCAGGTGTGAGTTACGCCCTTGAGATGTGTTTGCAGGTGGCTGTGAGGCACTCATAGAAGGTTCCATGGCCAACAAACCTGGCGGGCAGTGCAAGGGGAGGAGGTGGAATGAGGGGCACTGATCTGCAGCCAGCAGGTTCCTGTGCTGCTTTTCACACCCAGTAACCAAAGGCATTTTCTGTCACTCACAGCCACCATAGGAGCAGCCCTGGGATGCTGCAGGAGTGTGCGCTGTGCTTATGGAAGGTGGGGATGACCAAGAGTGAGGGCTGAGCACTGGGACAGGTCAGAGAAACACGCTGTACAGCAGCTGGGAGGCAGCTCTGTGCTGTACAGCCATAATGTGCTCAACCTTGTGCAGAATGAAGAGACGCTGTAAGATGCGAGGCTCATTTCTAAGGTGATTATTACAGTAGGAAGAGAGTTCTTCAGGCAAGCTATATCTGATGCAGGAAATCAAAGCCTGTAGTGAGGCACAACCTGGGACTGAAGTTAGGTGTATCAGTTATATTTTGCCCGGTGAGATGCTGCGTTCTGCTGCCATTTGTGCCACTGCTCGGCTCCTTCACAAGAAAGCCAACCTTACAAGGCTGCATTAACAGAGCAACAAACCACTTCAGTAGTAGTGGTGTAAGGAAAAGCATGGCACTTGTACTGTGAGACTTTCATATGACTGAAACTTGATGGTGTGTTTAAAAATATATATATTGTTGAAGAATGTTGACAATATATGAGACCTAAAATAGGTTTACGTTAACATTTTATAACTTGTATCTGCCATTAAGCAAAGCATTACATATGCATAGAGGATAAATATTTATTTATAACCACAAGTCTTTTTAAACAAAATAATGTGTTGCTGCTGTATACAGACAAATCTCTACGCTGGAATAAGGCAGTTGGTACATTGCTGTATTAAAAAAAAATCAATCAGCTTTTTCTAATTGAGTAAGTGGCATAGGCAAGGCCTGCGTTCTACAGCTTACTGTGGCAATTTCCAAACAACAAATGCCAAGTCCTCAGATCTGTGATCTTTTCGTTAGTCAGATTGCCTGGAGCATCCAAACAATCTCCAGGATCTCCACAATTCCATCCCCTGCAGAAGGCGTACTGTAGAACCAAGCTGAGCTGCTCCATCATAGCCCAAAGCAACAGCCTCATTAGAAGGAATGCTTTTAAAAATCAGAAATCCGTACCAGTATGATTCTATTTTACAGTAATTACACTTAAATAATTTTTAGAACAAGTTTAGATAGCAATTGTCATTACTGCAATTGATGTTTGTAAGGAGGAAATATTTATAGGGGTCATCTATTCATCGGATAATGGGTGCTGATCTGTCGTTTGTCACTGTTGGTCTGAGTTTCACAGTTGCAAAAGGATTTTCTCCACTGAAAAGAAATGCACAAAGTTACTGCGAGGTTTGCTGTGCTGCAAGGAGCATTGCTGGAAGAATACATTACAATTTCACACCAGCAGATTCTACACAACTCCTAGCTCAGCCTGAGCGTTTAAAACAGCCTTACACAGGAGAGCTGTCTTGACAGCAGTCCCAGGTTTGGTAAGTTACTGCCTGGTTTGCTCTGGATGTTCTTTAAAAGGCTTCCAGAAAGTTTGGATTTAACCCCTGCTCTGTGCCAAACCACAGGAGAAGCACCTGCTGCTCTGGGAGGGTCTGTGCTCCCCTCACAGCACTTCTGGCACTGTGGGGCTAACGCTGCTGCCAGTGGTCAGAGCAGCTCAGGAAGAAACATCCTCAGGTCCCCTCACAGTCAATACAATAACGTACATCAAACTGAAAACCAACACAACTATAATTGAATAAGTAGCTTTAAAACGTACCTTAGAAAGGGTGGTTTTACAATGCCATTCATGTTGGGTTTCTGTAAGAGAATGGATACGGGTACAGATTTAAAAAAAACAACAGAACGTGCTCCAGGTGATCTCCTCATTGTGCTGCTACAGAAAAGAGGCTCTTCCATTCGAGCAGAATGAAATATGCAGTGACTTGCACTAATAGCCGTCTAGTTTAGTTGAGCTGTGGGAGGTGGGCAGAAGAGAATGGTCTGAGAACATCCAGACACCGACAGCTGTGTGTGCATGCAGTGTAGAGAATGGGGTCTTCTTCCCCAGGGGGGTCAGTTCTGTTTTTTTTGCCAAGATCACCAATTACACTTACAAAAAGTTCTGCGCTGTATAGGTAAAAATATCAAACATCACTGAAAACTGGCAACCAAAAGAAGGACAGAAGCAAAGTGTTGCCATACAGCTTCTGTAGCACGCTGCAGAAGTGCCAAAAAACCCAACAACGCATGCAAGCACCCACCAAACAACCAAACCCCCCCGTGCCACCACCACAGAAACCCTCCTGCGCTCCGTGACTGTTGATGTGCAGCGTATGAATGAAGGCATCTCCTGTGACTTCTGTGAGCAGCGATGGTGAAAGGAAAGCAAAGCAGCGAGCCCTGGCAGCACCTGCATGTTTAACCAGCAGCAGCTGCGTGGGAGTGGCGAGAACAGGAATGACTGTACAGGTATTGTTGGCATTTTGTTGTCATCAAATGGTCGTGTTTGTTTGAATGCACGATCTGAAAATGCTTTTACAGCTACGGTGTGCACTGTACTTCTGATGAGATTTCCTCGATTTTTGTGAATTTGAGATTACCCAGAAGATGGCAGCGTGGCACTGACACAGCGCTCCTTTAGGATGCAGTGCTTGGTGCCATGAACTCAGCTGCTGTAACGGGCTGCCAAGCCTGCTGCACGATGTAGAGGCTTTGGCAAACATTAAACTTGTCCTTTTTTCCACAAAACTTTGAGTATAATAGTATTTAATTTTAAGTATTTCAAATGGCAAACTAATTGCATTGCTTCTAGGAGGTGTCAAATTAGGTTCAAAGCAAAAGTGAACTTTTGACTACATGTTCCAGCATACAAAGCATTCTCGGGCCTGGCAGCGGAGCGGTGGCTGTTGACTTGCACAGAAGCAGAGAGAACAAGGAAATTCTGAGGCTTTCCAAGGGAACGAAAGTAAATAGTAATTCTGGAGTGAAATCCTGTGGTGTGAGTGCAATTCTCTTCCTTGTGTATACCAGGTAAGAATCAGGGGTCACAGTGAATGTCTATCTGCTACACGTTAAGAGGAACCTCAACAACAGTTATGAGACCTGAATGCATTTGTCTTCCATTCCTAAAAGGCTGAAAGGCTGTAAGCCTCCAGGATGAACAAGCAGTTCTAGTTAATTCCATCCTCACCTATCAGCCAAAATCACTCACCTTTCTCTTGGTTTTTCAGTACAACAGGAATGTTAGTCCACAAGCCTTAAGTTTATTCATAGCCCCCCTGAACCAACATTACAGAAAGAAAGTCCTCATGGCTGGCCACTCTTGAGAGCCACCTGAGGCCAGGCTGCAGCACAGCACGGTGACACCAAGGCAGTGTGGGGCATTAGAGGTCTACAGTACGTCACCTCTTACTTGTGACAGGGCAAAGAACTCTCTGTACTGCTGGCCTGGCAGCTTTCACAGGCTGATACACCTTTTAACTATTGTAATTACACTTGAAGGACATGTTGATCCCCAGAGCTCTCAACAGATAGTCAGAATAAATGAACCTGGGTAGAAATCTGACATTATATAATTGTTAAGGCTTATTGCTTTTCTTATCCAAAAATGAAAACCATGTGTGTGTCAAAATATAGACTTTCTTCATAATTATTTTAGAAGTTCCCAGACACTTAATTTGAAAGTACTGCTTTCCATAAGAATGTGTTCTCAAGATTCACAGATTCCATTTCTCTGCTGTGCAGAACGGCGCTTCTAGTGCTCTTCATTATATCCCCAAACAATTTGTCACCCTTCTCCTGTAGGTAGACTGAGATACCAGAAAAGCATAATCATACTGAAGAGTATAGAACAGTATCAAGGAGCTCATTGAAGAGCTCAGTTAAGTTGGTCAAGAGGAGTAAGCAGAACATTCAGATTAATGGCACTGGTTACTTACCGGACCTGCACTTTCTGGTTTCTCAGCTGGTGTTTTAGCAGCAGTACCTTTGGAAGACTCTGTTCTCTTATCTGGAGTTGAACCCAGATAGTCTGGTGGTGGGAGGACAACACCAGCTTTTTCTGCAAGATTGACTGAACTGATACTTCTAACCGGCGCAGTGCTGCAAGACAGAACCCAGCAGGTAACATGTTCAGTTCCATAATACACCTTTCCCCCTTGTCTTTCGTCCCAGGAAAGAACAAAAATGTGTAGTTAAGGCATATGATCTCTCTGAAGTCCGTGGGACTGTAAAGTTGGAGTGATGGTCGTTCTTAGGTCTCTGTAGCCACATGGCAATGTGATCTAGGTGTGGCAGTACAGACAGTTAGGAGGTACTTCCTCTACATGTTGCTGAACGACTGATGGTGTAAGCAGAAAACTAATATTTCTAATACATTTGAAAGAATGTAAGAAAGAAGATTTGGGTATTTTTTGCAGATTCCATACTAAATATTACCTTGGCGCTGGAACAAAGGCTTTTTCTTCTGTTTCTTCTAGTGGTCTAGTATACGATGATGGAAACCATCCTTTTCTGTAATGGAAAAGGATTTCAATTTCATATGTTATAAAATTGGAAAGATTTTTCAGAAGTCAACACTGGACAAAACAGACTCCAGAAGATGTAATATTTAAAGGCCTGGGTTCTAGTATGCAAGATCTCCCTGAAATACGTGCGGTGAGATTCACCTGATAGAAGTTCCCAGTCAGTGACAGCAGAAAAAGTGGAAACCATGTACTAATTCCTGCTAGAGACACTTTTCCTTCATGTTCAAATTGGGTAATAAACCGATTGCCTTACACTTTGGTTGACTCATGTTCCCCATAAAGCCAGCCATCCTTTTCTTCAGATACAAGAAGTATGATGGTGTCTCCCTGTGCAAAGCTAAGTAAAGTCTTGTTATTTCCAGCTGTGTGCGGAAAGATCGTCTTTACTTTCTGCCTTTTCATTATATTCAGCCCTGTGGCAACTGAAGTTGAGCGCGACAAACTGGCATCATCTGAATTCTCTGCAAAATTAAAAGCAAAATTAACCATATTAACAAAATACAATTAGCTGTCAGGAGAAGCAGGTTTGGTAAAGCAGTACTGAAGTGTAGTTGTGGGACTTTGTTCTGTTGTAGACTCTCAGTTATCTACCAATGTTTCTTATCACCAGAGTTCTTCATAACACTGGTATTTGTATACATGCACACATGCTACCACAGCAACATTGAACCAACAGACACAGAAAGTTATGTAAGTGTTAATTTGCTTTCTTCTGCTTGGCATAAGAAATGCTAACCAGAAGCAGCTGCAAAAGACTCTGAAAATTTTCTGTTCTTAAAACAAGCCCAAGATTTGATTTCGTTCTCATGTCCAGCACTGAGCTTCACCTGGATCAATGAGAAGTGCAGACACTTGGCACTCTGCAGGTATGGGATGTTTTCCAGAAGATGATTTAAAGGATGTCTCAAAAATGTGTGTTATTTGACCAGTATAATGCACATTAAAGGCAGTTTTAAGGAGGGAATGCTGGAATTGCTGTTCTAGCACTGCATTTGTTTTGTTGTGATGTAGGCTTAGTTCTTTCCCTGTAGCAGAGTAAGTCAAAGACTCATATTTTACAAACTAATAAAATACTAATAAAATAACAGCATTTTACATTTCAGAAGTACAGGACAGCTTGTTTTATCCCACGTGCATTTTTTCCTGGCTGCTGTACACTCTTAAAGGAAACCATACCAAGACTGCAATGTTCTTGTCTGTTAGTGTGCACAGAAATAATGGTGGATATCTGGTCCAAAATCATAGAGTGTATTCTTCTGGTAGGATTGAGGGCACAGAGACAGTTGAGCTGTGCGAACCAGGGATGCATGGCAGATGATGGAAGTGAAAGTTTAGGATAGGTAGCTTCATTTCATTGTGAACAGTTATTTCCTCCTTATGACATGCACTTCACCTGTTAGGTAACTGATACATGAACACTCTGCAGAGACCATTTTATACTCCCCCACATATCCTGGAATTCAAATCCTGGTAGTAGTCACAAAATCCCAAAGAGAATTCCGAGTTGTTAACACACCCCTGCACACACGTGGCTTGCAGTGAAATGCCACTCACCTGCTGCATTGGTTGCTCTTTCAGGAGACACCTTTGGGCCCGTGGCAGGATTGTTAAACATGTCCACAAGTGGGCTGGTGTACGCCCTGCCAACAGGAGCAGGGGGCACCTTTGATGCATTTTCATTGTGAGCATAAAAGTTGTTTCCAATCTAGAATCAGAAAAATGTTGTCCTAATAGAGAGGTGACACGACTTCCTGTGTTTGCAACATAACCTCTAGAAAGCAATGCTCAGGTTTTCCCAGATCACACCTATGTAAGGCCTTTCTGCTGGGCCTACCTTGCTATGAAACTTCTGATAGAATAGTTTGCAAGGATCCTGTTCCCTGATGCACAGCAACTAGTGGAAATGCTATGGAAGCCCAGTTTTCACAAACAGCCCACTCATGCACAGATCAGTACACTTCTTAACTTAACTTTTGGAGGTATTGAATTTAGAAATTCAATAACCAATGGTAACACAACGTGCAAATAGGGGAATTGAGAATTTAATGTCTATTTCAATATTCTGTAATAAGAATCAGAGGGAATGACATCAGGGAATGACATACCACGGTGTTTCTCTCTATCATTGGTGAAGGCTGCGGAGTTCCTGATATTGGAGTGGAACCAGGTGTCCTTATTTCATCAATCATCATTTTGACCTTTTCAGGAACTTTGGTGGCATCACTACAGATTTCCTGCCACCCAGGCAGCTTGGCATTGAGGAATTCTGCACACTGCATCCAAATGTAAGAGTTTCTCATCAAAGATATGTTTGGCATAAAATTACACAGAACTACTTGCTAATTTTTGTTGTTAGAACATGGTAAATGAAGTGAAATGGAAGTCTTTTCGAACATGTTCAAGGCTAAGTAATACCTCTTTGAAGTATATAGAAGAAAGAGATGGTCCTTTTTCAGGGCCAGGTGTTAGAAATACCAAACTTCTTAATGTGTGATTTTTTAAGAAGTCATAGCAACCTTTGACCGTTTGCAACAGCACCTTTATGAGAATATCACATTGCAGACATTCTCTACAAGCAGATCACAGCACTCATCTGGCACTGCAGTGTTCCCAGTGCTATCTGAACTATTTGTGGCACTCTCATCTAGATACTAGGAGAGATTTTAAGATCTCTGATATGATTAGATTTCAGGAGCTTCATTTTTATTTACATGCATGCCACCAACCTGAGCGTGATAGAAGTGCATGTGCTGGGTAAAACTGCAGTGCTTGTCAACTAGAAAGCAGAATCTTCTTTTTTCTTCAAGTAGAGCTTCTCTACAGCCTTCTGCAATAAATCTCTGAATGTCAGTCTGTCGAGAGCTCACGGTTTCCAAATACTAAGGGAAAAAGGTAAATAATTCACATACAGCCTGTGAGTTTTATTTGATACTCTATCCAGTTACTGAAGCGTGTTCCAAAAAGACAAGAAAAAGAAAAAAAGAGAAAGTTATCAGAAAGGTGGGGTGGAGTGGCTCTGCTTCCAAGTCATTCTCTCTTTATGCACACATCTGACTTCTCCAATCTCATCAGACACACATGTATTCTATTACAGGCAATCAGTATTGGGGTGTGAAGCACCAGAGGAGATTCAGAAGTCAGGAGGAATTTTTTCATGGTGCCTGGGCCTCCCTGGACAATCTGCACAGGTACTGGTGGAGCTGCTGTTTATGGAGCTGAAGAGATGTGTGGACGTGGCACATGGTGTAGGGCTGGACTTGGTAGGTCACTGATGGTTGCACCTGATGGTCTTAAGAGTATTTTTCAACCTAAATGATTTTATGATTCTACTCTGTGTGTGTGTGTAGGCAATGAAGCAAAGCAAGAAAAATAATTCTATCTTCTAAATTAAATGCTGTAGCAAAGAAGAATGTGACTTCAAAGCAGCAGCAACTGAGCAACTTTAAGGCCGCAGGTGTTCTCTAATTGGACTGATTACCTTCATCTGCTCTATAGCAGTTATATTTACTCTCACAAAGCTGTAATGAATCAATACTTCATCTTAGAGAGGAAAAAATGAGTTACTAAAGAGACTGAAATGTATTTATCTGAGCTTATGAGAGTTTGTGGCTAAAATGTGCTTAAAGGCTAATTCTTAAATTCTCAGTCCGGTACATTAAAAATGAACTGTTCTGAATGTGGGTTAAAACACACTGTAAGAAGTAAGAGCTGGTGTGATTTATGTTTACGTGCCTCGTTATAAACAAAGCTTTATTTAAAGAAAAAAAAATAGAAAAATAGAGAGGAAAAAATATAACAGGTAACCTAACATTGTGTGTCAGAAAATAGTTTCCGTTTCATTTGAAATAACAAGTCCTCTGTCTGCACCGCCTTGCCTTTTCTTATTTGGCCTCAAGATGGCAATGCTGTGTAAGAACAGCAGCGAAGGCAATGAATCAGTCGAAGGGCTTCGTCGGGAAACGCGTTAGTAGCAAATTACTGCCGCGTTTACACAACGTGGCTGAGTAAAGTGCTGCACAAAGGTGCAGCTCCTGAGGTGTTTTAAGGCCGCTCTCCAAGCAGTGGCCATCTAAGAAACCCTGAAGCTGAAGTAACGCCTCTGAAGGCGTACAGCAGCGCAGACAGCATTTAATTTGAGCTGCAGTAATTATTGTAGGAGTGCCTGTAATGTACAACAGCTCTGAGAAATCAAAAATACGCATTCTTTGAAGTTAGTTTAACTTGCCAAACAACGCGCTGGGCAGCTGTGAATTTACACTGCGTGCACAAGAATTGTTGTAGGCTTCAGAAGTCAAGCTTTGAAAGACCCAGATAGGACCTGCAACAGCTTCGTGTTTTCTGCTGACCAGTTCTCATGCAAAATAAACTTAAAAAAAGAAAAAAGCAAACCAAGAGCCAATACACTGACCTCCATTTCTTTATGCTCATATTTCATCATGTTTCGTGCTCCTTGGCTTTTCCTTCGGATTTTTTTCAGCTCAGCCTGAGACTTCTCCAGGGAATCCAATTTACTTCTGTGTTCGGTTTGGTACCTCTTTAAAGTTGCCTGCAATCAGAGCATTTACAAACATCTCAGTGCGCTCCGCAATGCTGCTTGTGTAAGCAGCTAGAAAGCATTACCATAGATATTGCTAATGCATGTCAAATGAGGCAACCAACTGCTTTTCTCAGCTGTGGGTTAAGGATGCTATGAAGTCATGCACTGGTTCCTATTTTAGCTCAAAATAAGCACAAATGCTTGCGCCGTGTTTAAGTAGAGCTCAGATCTAACAGTGATTAATAAACTGCTGGGGACCGACCGATAAATAAAAGATGCCCTTTTTTATTAGAACTGAATGTACTTACGGTCATGTATTTTACATCCAGGTCTGTTTTCCTCTCCAGTTCAGATATAATTTCCTTATGAAATTTCTTAAACTTTAAAGCAAATAAATTAAGGGTTATTAAAAATCGGCAAAAGTGGTTTTTAATTTCAAAAGCTGAGGTAGGTTAGGAAATGGTTGAACTTACACTTTCCTCTAGACTGTCATTGAGTTTCTTGTGCGTTCTTGAAATTTCTACCAGAACTTGGCCTGTTGGGAAACACACAACCGTATTTCTTTCTTTCATAGTTCTGAAGCTGGTTAACAAGCAGCAATAAAATACATGTAACTAATACATTTGTTAGCTATATTAAGAGAGATAGGAAACTTCCTGCTGTTTCTTAGCACAGCAGTTTAAATAATTAAGTGTATCTGGCCACAAACAAACCAAGAAGCTCATAAATGACAGGAAAATAATCAGTCGTGTTATTGTGAAGGCAAGACTTGGTGTGACAGGCAAAGTAACTCCTTCCTTCTCCCAAAGTAACGTGACTGATTCAGTGAGAGACTGTTCTTGCCGATGTGGGGCATAGGACATGGAGGCTGGAGATAGCTGCTGCTGTGCAAACAACTGCTGTCCACTCAGCCTGCAAACTGGGCCTTAATGTTTAACTAACCACAGCATCGGCGCTGCAGTTCACTGTCAGCACACCTGCTAAAGCAGGTCTGATACGTATGCTGATTTATTTCTCATGCTGTTTTATCAGGGATTACAGCCTGTCTGTATGGCATTAACTCATAGACAGGAAAGGCAGATTTCTTAGCTTCCTTTCCTTAGCAAATTCAGCTAAATAAAATAAATGGCAGAACTTCTTATCTTTTCCTTTCTCAACATTTCCCCAGCCATCAAGACCCATCCCTCCATGGTGTACATTGGGGTTCTGGTAACCCTGTGCCTGGGGCATCTCCATTATGAAGAAAGGATGGCAGACCTGGGGCAGTTCAGCCTGGAGAAGAGAGGACTGAAGGGTAACGTTACTGATGGTTACACATATCTGGTGGGTGGGAGTCAAGTGGATGGGGTAGGCACTTTCATGATGCCCAGAAGAGGCAGTGGGCACTAAAACCAGGATAGGAAGTTCCATGCAAACAACCTACAGTGATAGGGTGCTGGTGATTAAAAATATAGAAGTAAATACTGTGAGAAGTGAGAGTCACTACAGTAATTATTTCCTATGCAGTAGAAAAGTAAATACAGCGTAGTTACACAAACATTTCAAGTAATGGCCATCAGTAAGCGACCTGGTTGTTTGTAAGGCTGCAGAAGTGAGTGCAATTTAGGCTGTAGTTCTTATTTCACCCAAATCAACTGAGAAGTTACGTTTTTTACTGTAGTGGCATTTCAAAATCAGAGGAGTTTTGTGAAAAGGAAAAGAGCCACCAAGTAGTGATACAGTGAAAAGAAATTGGGGAAAAAAATCCACGTGAGACTGTGAAGTTTGCTTGGCTTCACATCCGCGGAACACAGAGCCGTTTGGCAGTTCATAAACATTCGTGGTGAATGCTGGAACGGCCACCAGAAAATCGCCCTGTGCGTTACTGCTGCTTTTTAAGGAGGTGCACAGGCACTCCGTGCCCATGTGTGCTGGGAGGAGCTGCTGCCAAAGCACGGCGCGCTGCTCGGGCAGGCAGCCCCAGGCAGCCCACAAGGCGGGCATTGAGCGCAGCCCTGCCCTGCGGCGCTGAAGCGGCCCATTCACCGCAGCGTGCGGTGGAAAACCTGGCGCTCAGGGCTTGTTATTTCTGTCTCACACTGCATCTGACCGCAGCCTTCAAGGCGTTCGGCTTTCAATACTTGGGTAGAACACTAGCCACCTTTTTTTTAACCTTTATTGCAAAGACTACTGCCCAAACGTATCCTGAGATGAAGAGAACTTTGAAATCGACATTTCCTTCTTTTTCCGGGATTCTTTTCTTTGCACACCCTGGAACACATCTTGTTTTTAAATGTCAGTGACCGTTTCTCTCATCGTATCTTCTTTCTCCCCTCACCGAAGGCTCCCCATGCACTGCACGTCAGACAAAACCCATTCTGTACTGGGATCTCTTCACTGCTCCCAGTAACGCAGGGGCACTGGGCGCGCAGCTCACCCGCCTCGCCTCCTCTTTCATGCTTTGAAAAGAGCTCACAGTGAGTGCATGGCCCTGTTAAGATCTAAGTTATAGTTTACATTAGAGGTCAGATGCTTCTCTTTAAATAGAGAATGCTTTGTAAGTGGACGTCTGCCGTGGTCTTTTATCACCAGTTTAAAATAACGATAACCCACGTTTGGACAGCCCTCCTGATTCAGATTTATGCAGGAGAAATGTTTTTGTGGAAGTGTAACTCAGGAAAGGTAAAATGAGCCCAGACCTCCACGTCACAGCATCCAAGTGGGATGGGAACCAAACAACTTCAGGACAGTAAGTTGATTTTGATTACAATTGCGAATTATAAAATAGCTCTAATAAACACAGTAGGTCTCTAGACTAATAATGACATCAGCGAGGGCCAGGCTGTGGTGCTTAGTAATTATTCAGTTTGTAAAAAGGTCAAGAAAACTACCTGAAGTGAGGACAAGTGTATTACTCACGTCAATTAAAGATATTTTGCTATGTATTAAGGCTGCTCATGATCAGGTTTAATGAGACCTCTTAATACACAGTAACCAAGTCTCGACCTTGTCATCATTTACTGTCAAACCCCAGAGCTAGCAACCATGCAAATACACTACAGAATATGACTAGACTGCATGATAACAGACTGCTTCAGTCCAGCTTATGACAGACATACTGTAAACCAAACCAGCTTTAGGCATCACGTTATGCAGTGAATTAACAAACCCAAACCACCAGTCTTCATGATAAACACAACTATTACAGCACTTCACTTTCAAATATACCTTTTTTTTTTTGCTTTGCGTTCCCCCACACTAAATACAAAACCTTTGTATGATGGAACAGTAGAAATATATATTTAACTTTTCCACATTTATTTTAGAAATTAAAAATGTATTCATAGATGTGCATAGGCACACGTTCTGTTCTGTTAATATCAGCTCAGTATTGCAATGCAGGGAAGAGAGGAAACAACTTCTTACAGATGGGTATTTTGGGAAAACATCTCACCTTAAAAGAAAAGTGACCTTAAAAATATACCAAACACCTCTCATGTAGAGCAGGTGAACCTGGGCTGTGCAATTTACCCGCAGCCTGAAATATGGCCATGGATGGTGATGTCAAATTGCACGGTGGATTTATTTCAGTTTCAGGTGGGTTCAGTGCACAGTAGAACAATCCCTTAAGCTGAAGCCTTAGAAACTTGAGGGAGGTTTTTAGGCTTACCCAAGGTTGGTTGTTGTCCCTGTGTTTTCTGTTAAGAAAGCAAGACAGGCTAGAATTCCATTAATGGTCTGTTGGTTTTGTTTGTAGAAAGAATAAATAGGAACCACTAACCCAAAATACACAACACTCCTCCACACACAGCATTGCATCTCTGAAAAATTGTCTTCACAGTAGATGAAAAACAAGGAAAGTGATTTCTAACAGAAAGCCTCGCTTGAAAATAGAAGAGATAGTAAGCATCTTCATTATAAGGCCAGAATACAGAGCTTCTGCAGCAGTTACAGTTCAATCTCGCTGTTCACACTGAGCAATTTTAGTGGTTGTTTGTCTTTCTAGCTTATGCTGAATGCTGTCTGTTTTTCAGAACAGAAGATAGGAAGAGTTAGTTCAAAATAGAAACAAAAATGGAACTTGGTCCAGTTTTGTCAGAGAAGCAAATATTAGCAGTTACCAAGAAAATCACTTCAACGTTTAAAACATGAATTGATAAAATTACTGGTTTCATCACCTACTTGAAATATAGTTAGGATTTTGTTTATCTTTAGAGGAGGCCACTGGAAAAACGTCAAGTCTCACTAGAAAGACACTAGATGCCTGGGAACAAAGCGCTCCATTAGAATCACTCCTTTATCTCCTGTCCTATTTTGCATTCAGGGCAGGTCTAATAACCTCACGTCTTCAAGATGAAGCCATGTAATTATTTGTATTAAACAAGAGCAAGAGGCTGAGTCACAGCTAAGCATGGAGACAGGACAGGTCAGGCATATCACGAGCTCCCACTTCTGTCAGGATGCTCTCTCTTCCCAGTTGCCCTTTGCCCAGAATAAAGGCAGCGATGATTAAGAAGAGCTGGAAGCAGAGTCATTGGAAGCCATTAGCCCTGAAAGGAGGTGAAATGGGAAGTCTCAGAAGAATACAGTGCAACACAAGTATAACCGACCTAAACATCTGTTAAGCTTCAAGTACATTCAATTCACCATTCCCTCGTAGGAAAGATTTATTGCAGGATTGAATTGTGCAGCAGATACTTGAAAGAAGGCATAAAGTCTTAATGGAAATTAATATAAATGAAAAAATAAGAAAAAGCAAAACAGTGTGTTGTTTCCAAACCACTGACTGCTCTGCTTCTAATGCAATTTGCCCGGAATACTTGGGGGGGGAGACAACCTGTGGAGTTAATGCTCCTGTGCACATAGATCAACAGGCCGAGGTCAAGCCTGCCTTTCCTTACTGCATGAGCGAATGTGAAGCGAGCAGCAAGGAGTAAATCTGTCTGTGCTGAGCTTTATAAAGTGGCACTGACACACGACCAGTCAGTGCTTGTTATGAAGGTGACTGCAGAGGGTGAAGGAAGAATAAAAAAGAAAAAGAGGAGTCAAACCTACAGCAGAGCAAAAGGGAAGAGAGTTCAGAGGATAATGGAGTGTTTGAAGTCTGCTATACGTGGTAGGCCCCCACTACCCAGAAGAAGCACTTCTGAATGGATAGGTATGTTTTGCTGAGCAGAATTCTGTGCTACCATATATAAAACAAAGAAGCAAGAAGATTTTCAGTTTCTAAATGGGACTCTCAGATCAATTTGCATTTCAAAATCTACCAAGTTCTCACTAAAATTGTGAGCAGTAGATATTTCTGCATTGTAAGTAAACTAATTCACTTGAAACAAATTAGACATAGATTAACATGAACAAAGCCTCCTTTATCCAAATATTGTGCATTCATGTAGCACACAGTGAAATCCAAATAATACTGTTCATGAATCAGGAAGAATGGAATGGAACATTCTGCTATTATTTAGACATGTAAAATTCAAAGCTCATGCCTCACCTTGCAGATTTACCTCCTTTCCTTATATAGGAGCTGCCATGGTCAGTCAGTGCACCTCACACTGTTATGCAGTTAAAGATATGGTGTAGTTTTCATGGGATCAGAGCCATTTTGAGTCCTCTTCCCTCGGAACACACAGTGCCACGCTTTTAGCACCTCTTTAACTATTCCAGCATTTGATATGAAGTTGCTTTCAAAGCACTGTTTTTCTTCTAAGGTTGCACAACCCACAGCACTTAGGGAACAATCCCAAACCAGGGTAATGCTCACTGTTGAGAAGACCCACTTTCTCCATAGCTGTGTTTCATAGGCTGTTTTTCCCCACCTGGACATAGTAGGTTACACTACTTCCAATTACTTAAAATGTTTTTAGATATGTTAAAGTCTCATTGGTACAGGGAAAAGAGAAAACCTTCCAGCGTTCCTCAGAGCCTGGAAGATGCCTAAACATCATGGTTTCATGACCAGACAAAACCAATAAGCAGTAAACAGGATTATACAAGGCACTGCTGCTAATTTTAAGAGTTGAGCTCCAATGGTGTTAGGTGGCAGTGAGCTCATACTGCTCTACTTTCTCCTCCTCATTAGACTCCACTGCCTGTGCTGCTGTGCGGCTCCTCTCTGGAATACGTTCCAGCCATGCACGTGCTTTTCATGTACGTTTGACCAAAGTAAAAATTCCAATTGCTCAATGTTAAAATCAGGCAGGAAAAAAAAAAAAAAAGAAGGACCTACAGCCTCTGTGTTTATTCAGTTGAATAATTTCTTTCCAGCTACATCATGGCCAAAGTTCTTTAGCAAGAGACCAGAGCTGTTGTGCTCAGGCTGTGTTCTAGCTGTGGTATACTTTCTTCTGCTGGAGGTACCTTTTACCATTTTACTTTGAGAGTCAGTGCTGTACACCAGGTTCTGTGCTTCCTGAAGTGTTTGCTATATTGCAGTACATCCATCTTTGTATGTCCATATATAGCACAGACAAACAAATACGTACAAATATGAGCATTAACACTGACAGCCCATTCCCTCTGTGCCAAAGGCAAACAGCATCATGAGTGAATACATGAGCAATTATCAAGACTATGAGAATTTCCAGTTCCTCTAAGTTTGTTTGTGGTGTGATGCTCCTATTTTACAATTTAAACAGAACAAGAAAAGCTTATTTTAAAGAGAGGTGTGACTTTCCATTTTAGCAATTTCCAGCCTGCTGGTCTCCTTCCCTTTTCTCTCCCAGCCTGTTCTCATCATCTTATTCTCTCAAAGAAAAAAAAATCAGAGATTAAATTGTTTTAAACCTACTGTATCATTGAACAGATGACGATTAGCATGAAATATTTACGTAGTTTCAGATGATTGGTAAGTATGGTAACTAAATTTTAATGTTAATTAAAAAAGGAAAGGAATAGTGTATGCCACATAAATAATGCATGAAAAATGGCAAACTTGTTTTTCCACCTGTTACTCCATTCGTAATATCTGTAAGGACTGACAGAGGCTGTTTTTTAACCCAAACGTATGAAGCAGACTGCATTAGGGTGACAGATCTTCCGTGGGGCCCTGGAAGCCTTAATTACAACAGCTTCTGGTACTGGAGCTGCAGTGGTGTTGAACAGGCAGCTTGTGGGCCTTTCCAGGCAGGTGCAAGGAAATAAGTGAGCACACAAGCACAAGCCTGAACTCGCACACTGGAGGCCCTGCTGCTCTTCGGCCGATCAGTTCGGGGCCATGGTGCAGCAGAGCCACCTGTGTCTGAGCAGGACTGCAACAAGCACGGGTCATCCAGCTGCAAAACGAGGCTCCTGATGTGTTTCCAGTACTAAATAAGGGTGAAAAGGTGAGGCGCTGCGCTGAGTGCTCCATGGAATACAATTCCGGTAGGGAGTTGCTGCCCTTGTTAATCACAGCCATCTGCAACTGCTGCCATCAGCAGTGTCAAACATGTATCCAAAGTGAAACGTTTTGGTTAAAGGCTTTTCTGTGGAATTCCAAGAGAAACTGGTTTTTTCCTCCTTAGAATGTAAATGTCATCTCCAACTGATCCTTTTCTCAAAAATCATGAATTAGTAAGAGCTTACTGTATAGACAAACAAAGCTAGAATTTCAGTTAGGGGATTTACAAGCTAGTTACATGCACCATGTGATTTTCTTTGCAACACTGTCATTTGTTTTCCATTTTCCATATGTTTGTCTTACTGAAGAAGACAAATAAGATTAGGTTTCCCTCTACACAGGCTTGCAGGTCTTTTTTCTTCCTTTTTTTTTTTTCCCCAACAGATGTACCTGGGGGAGGAGATGGTGAAGAAAAACTGATTGCTTAACATCAGCTGAATGGCTGCATGCCTGCCCAGCCTCACCAGCAGTGATGGCATTGTGTTTGGGTAAGTTAGGAGAGCTGCCAGGGAACACACACCTACTGTGCACAGAATGCAAGTTCCCCCACTGTGGAATTAATTACTATTTTCTGAACACTAGTCACAATCAAGTGAACGTTGCATGCACACACAGGTGAAACTCAGGGCATCTTTTCCAGAGTTTCTGTTGCAACATGAAAGATGTCTGCTGTGTGTGAAGCTCATGTGATATGTAACTGTTTCAGGACAGCCAGCACGCCCTTTGTCATATTTCCCTCTATTTTCTTAGGCCCTTGAAGCAGAGCGTGATGGTATCAAGAAAGTGCACACCCACTTCATTCTGCATATCTGATTTGTCTTTCAGGGGGTTGCAATGACACGCACTGTTTGGATGTGCTGTATGAAAACCCAGAGCCATCGCACACAGGTGGGCATTGAGGGCAGCAGTACAGACACGTGCGCCCGTCTCAGGCTGCAGAAGGTCATGCAGCACGAGGCACAGCGAGAACCTGAACAGCTGATCTATCAGTGAACACACGGAGCTCTGCGACAGACAGTGGGGCAACGTACGAACTGCAGAGAAGCTCATGCTTAAGAATGAAAGATTGAAGGTTTGATTTTCCTTCTTTCCTCCAGCAGACTCATCAAAAGTTTATATGCAGAATACTGAACATCAAAAGGCACAGTACCAATTCTAGAGGAAAATCTTCTCAATGTGAACATTGAGCTTGATTTAACCTTATAAATGACCTTGGGAAGTAGAACTATGAATAGCAGAAGTTTCCACTAACTCAGCTACTGTTTCCATCTCTAGCAGTGTAGAAAGGCTGGCTGCTCTTCTCCTACCTTACTTATGGCAGATTGGAGGTCTGTGTAGCACCGAAACAAAGTTATCACAAAATTAGGAAATACAGAACCTCACTCCTGAAGAAGTGAAAAGCACCTTGTATTTCATTTTCAATCACTTTTTGTTATATAAGAATTCAGTCCCTTTTTTCAATCCCATTTTATTATAAATACATTATAACTGTACTTCATTAATGCTCCATAGGAAAAGCTGGCCTGACCTACTAACTGCTTCAGCTGCAACCTCTAAGCTGGTTTCCCAGAAGTTTCCACAAGATGAGGTGCTAAAAAGGTTCTGTAGCTGCTGGCACACTTCACTTGCTTTCTGTCCAACAGTCTCTTCTGAAAGTAGAACATTTATGCTATCCAGGAGATGGCAGTGATGCAGTAAGGTGGGACAAGATGACAGATCTTTCTTTAGATTAAAGCAGCCAGCGAAGGACAGGGTGCTAGGTGTCATCTTTCGAAGGCAAGTGAAACAGGATTCCAGCTGAAAGGGTCAATTTATCTGCTTAAATAAGCCAACAACTCTTTTCTCTCCACTGCCCATGAGTTTTCACCCACTTTTTAATTTTTATTTTAAGTACAACTAGCTTCATTTATCCTAAACTATTACATTTCCTGTTCTCCTGCTTGTCTTTGTCAATAGTGAGAGCAACACTTAAGTGCCATGTCACAGAAGTAGAAGGGATAGCTGTTCCCAGCTTTAGAGAAGTACAGGCTCAGATGTCCATTTTGCTTATTAATAAGGAAGGAAAAAGTTCTGAGTGCCAAACACCAGCAAGACACTGCTTTTGAAAGATGGTGTAACCTTATGGTCAGCTTAGCATTTTTTTCACCAAGAATGTATTTTCTTTTAACAGAATAAAAATGTTCTCATTGCATTCCAAATAATTTTGCATGGGCACTTAAAGCTCACTGTTTCTTGTATAGAAAATCTCTACAGCTAGAAAGGAGAAACAGTAGAAAAGTCCACTGGGTTTATTTGAGCTTCAAATGTAAAATGGTTATCATTTAAAAATAAATAAGTGAAATCAAACTGTGCTCTCTACAGATTTAATTTCACTTAATTACATTCATAATAGATTGTCATTATCAAGTTATTGTTATTTTGCTTTGCAGAACCAGAAAACAGTTATCAAAAGATTGTTAGATTTCAGTCCATGCAGCTGGACAGGAAATGCTGACTGTGTGGTGAGCTCTGGGCACATTCACCACTCAGTAACAAATCCCTGTCGACAGCGATGCTCACACTAGGATGCGTTATCCCAGCGACTGCAGTCATCTCTATGAGAAGCCTAAGGAGCCTCAAGAGAAGGAAATGCACACAGACAACCCCTCCCCACCTCTCCACACTGTAGCATTATTATGTGTAATTACTGTATTGCTGAGTGCACTCCTACCTCTCTTCACAGTGGATATTTTACAGCATGATGAGGTTTTGGAGACCTTTGAAGTCACACCACTTTTCCTATGAGCAAACTCGCGTTACGTGGACGTGTTCTTTTGGACCTGAAGGACAGTCACACCCTTTGTTCACCAGCAGGATATCGAGTTCTGGGCTCTTCCCCTGCCAAGCAGGCCTTCCATTTACTGGTAGCACCATCACAAGTTCCCTCCCAGCCCTCAGCCCTCCCTGACTCGTGGCAAGCACCAGGCAGGAGAAGCGTTTTGTCCAATACTTGTTTCAATAATCACCTGCAGGGGTTTTTAACTAGAAAATTTCTCCTGAAAATAAAAAAAAGAAAAAAAAAAAAGAAAAAAAATCCCCATTCTACAGTTTCAAAGTGCAGATGAGCTTTATCTTTATATTATAGCATATCTTTATGTTAAGTCTGAAGTGAGTGAGACTGAAAATAATAAGCCTGTGACACAGAGCAGTTTTTAACTAACAGTTTTGATGGAGTAGAGAAGACGTTCCTCTCCCTGATGTTCCTTTTAACACAGATGTCTGCAATTCAGCTGCACAGATCAATGCCGTGCAACACATTTATTTCTTCCATATTTGGCTTTGTTGTAGAAGCAGCGTCACACTTGGTTCTTGTGCAACAAGCTCTATGCACAGACCCACAGTGTAACTGTGACATTGTAATTGCTATCAGTACAGTTGCCACACAATAAACAAATCGGGACTTTACACTCCAAGTATTATGAAGGAGCTTAGCACCTGCCAGTTGTTGTAGCTACAAGGGGACAGCTGGGAAAACATGAGAAGAATTCAATGAATGTGCAGGAAAACTTCCTGATTCCTTCAGCTAGTGAAGGCTGTACAGATAGATTGTTACAGTTAATAGCAGTGATGTTCTGTTAGACAAAACCTCACAAACCCGTGTTTTAGGTGAGACAAAAACGGTCAGGGATGCAGGAGGGAAGTTAGTCCTTTTGGCACTGATACAGCACTGAAGTATTTATGTGAATCTACCTTCAATGCGTTACTGAAACGAGGAGTTCCATTGTGCTGTTGTGATGTGCTGCAATTTGAATGTATAAAACTGCGTTTTTAAGTGTACAGCTTCGTTTTTCCTAACTTTTCTTCCTGGTGTAATTTAAAATAGGTGTCTAGGAAAGCAAGATACGGAAATTCCACACTGCAGAATGACAAACTGTACATTCAGGTCACGTTCCTAAATTCTTGTCGCTAAATCTGAAGGACTACAAGCTTAGAAAGTTGGGGAATTTCAAAATTAGGAAAAAAAGTGGATTTAGAGCAACTTATCTTTTATTTACAATAATTGTGCTGTGAATGCAATATATTCTTCTACTTTCTCATATGAAGTTATTCTGTATTACAGTGTTCCAGGGAGCTTTCCACCGCGTGTGAAATACACAGACATGGCACCGAAGTTTTGAATATCTGGAATATCCAGATTTCCATTTCCTTCTCGCCTCCTTCTTCTGCACCAATCTCATTCTACGGAAGAAAGCACTTGTTCTTACTGCTGCTAACAGGGAGACCATGTTCTGTGTTTCCTTATGAGAAGGAAGGACTGGTGGTGGTTTCGATACACATCTTTACGTAGCGCTGGCAGTAAGCCTACTGTAGGTCACCCAGCAGGTTTGGGTTTGAACTTTAGAATGTCTGGAAATGACCTTCCAGCAAGCACTATTCATAAATTACAAAGATTACTGTATTTTAGCCATCTTAGGCACGTAGGCTTTCATAAGTAAGTGTAAGAACTTTAATGCAACACAACTCAATTTAGAATAATACATTATTTTTCATCTGACACCACTAAAGGTGACATTGCTACAGGAAAGAGCTGAAACACTGATTCTTGCCTTATTGCCCTGTTCAGTCTTCTGAAGACTGATTTTAATAAGAAGTGTATCTGCAAAAAACACAGGTTGCTATGCTAGCTATCAGGGAAAGGGGAAAAGGGACAAGTCTTCTAATAGCTCCTTTTACAGCTGAAGAGTAGCTGCTGGCTGATGGGCGGAACACAGGGTCAATGGAAGAAGAATCCATATTAAAAACCGAAGAAAAAGCAGATCAGCAAATTATTCGTGACACATTTCTGCTGTAGGTGACAGGTAAGAAAACAGCACTGTGGATTTCTGATGACTGTAAAGCCTTGCCTTCCCATCCCCAAGCCAGGCATCCCAATTGTGGTCAGAACAGGTAAGTCGTGGGGCTTTTTGTTTGTTTGCTTTCACACAGATTAGCTTCAGGTGTTAGTTTCTGTACTTTGGATGTTTCAATTTTTACTACACAAATTAAAACACTTAAATTTGCTGGCTGTCCAAAGCCCTCAGTACTGGAAATCCAGACAATGGTACCTCAGCTTGTACTCAAGTATGAAAGCATTCCACTTAAGAAAATGTAAATGATCTCTCACTGATGCCTCCCACATTATCCCACCTTTATCTTAACATGAAGTATTCTATCAGAGAGCCTGCAGGAAGAAATCTAGACTTGCTGTCTGGATTTTTCTCACAGTAACAGTTTAAATAGGTGATGAAAATGCAGTCTTAGAGGCCTGATCCTGGAGAAGGCATGACTTTCTCAACACAAAATACTTAGGAAGAATTATAGCTGTATGGAGAACATAATTAAAACCCCCAACATGAATTTTCAAGCACAATTTTGTGTCGCCCCATAGTACGAAAGATACAGATTTAATCTCTGCTCACTGATGCTTTCAAACACGCAGACAGTATCTCACAGTCAAACAGATCTCAACAGACAGATTACTTGCATGGATTTTACCAACTTACAGAAATTGTAATTATGCTTTTCCTGATGTTTTTATTAGGTTGACTGGTTAATACTTTTAACTTGCTCTTGATTTTGTTCTACCGCTTGAAATCAGCAACTCTGTTTCCTGTAAACAGCTTGCAAAGCAAACACAGAAAGCTACATGAGGCTGTTTGCTTTTGCACTGGGAGCGGCAGAACAGCAAACAATGCTGAACACAGAATGTTAACAGTCTCCCAGAAGTGGTTTCAGAACAAATGGTAAAAATGTACGCAGGCACAGAGAGCTGTGGTCACCTCTCAAAGAGAGGCTGTCCCTCACATCACCTGCAGAAACACTGAGAAGAAAATTACTCAAAACAATCCTTTAAAGTTAAGAGTAATGGAAGCGGCCAGTGTCACACCATTGAAAATGTCCTACATTACCCTTAACTGAAAGTGCAGATTGCTCATAGTAAAAGGACAATTTATCCAGTTATTTTTGTCAAAAAGCAAATGAAGCCTTTAAGCAACGTTTCCTCTTTGTAGTTCAGTTTGTACTTATATTTTTGTCAGAAGTATTACTCATACTTTGGTGACAGTTTTACTTTTGTAGACTGAGCAATATCATTTCAATGCTAGCTAAAGGAGTACAAAACAAAGTGCTAAATTTTTCAGAAATTCAGAATATATTCTCAGGAAAGTATGGAACTTTTAATACATTCTTGTTTATAGCAGAAATGCTGAGTTGTGGCCTGAAGCAGTGATGGAGCACCTGGTGGGAAGGCAGGGCAGCCCAGGGAGCTCAGGTGCATGCAATGCAATGCAATGCAATGCAATGCAATGCACTGAGTGATGGAAGGGTGGAACCAGGATCCACCCCTTCCCCGCCCTCATTTAAGGGCTGGCAGTGGAGGTGAGGGTCTCACTGGAATTCCCTGCGTACCTGAGGCCTTCTGAAGGTAAGCAGCTTCTTTCTTTATGCCTGTGCCCACAGCTGTTGCATTGTTGCATTTAAGCAAACCTTCACTTGCTGTGGCCTAGGACCTGCTGTCATTGCTGTGCTTCCCATTGTGTTACAGCATTACAGTGTTCATGTAAAATTAATCCATCTTTGACTCTCTATTTCCTCATTCAAAAACTGAACTAGAATATTAATATCTAGTATCTGAGAACTTCTAGTGATGTTCTTGATTGATCTGGTGTGAGTGGCCTGAGAAATAACGTGTTTTAAAGCAGTGTAATCCCACCTGGCTACGTACAATGCTCTTTTCCCAGTACCTCTCTACTTTACATCATTTTTATGAAAAGTCACCAGGAAAACAAAACAAAGTTTGTATTTTGATGTAGTTTAAAAAAAAAAATAATTAGAAAACCACTTACCTAACTCTTTGGAAACAGGCGAATCCGCTGATATATCCCCAATCTTTGCAAGGCTGTCGTAGTATGATCTTCCAGCCACTACCATAGCTTAAAGGGAGAAAAAAACAAAACACAAACACTGAAATATTTTCTTCTTTCATTAATTTATGGCATTATGAAATATTAGAATCCAGGACACATAGTATGCCAAAAAGGAAATCCTCCTGTTGGGAAAACTTACTCAAGTCCCTGTGCTATCTGCTAAGTTGTGAAACCAGGTGTCAGCAAGACAGGGCTCCAAAGCACTGAAGCTGCAGCCTGTTACTTAGTTCCAGCTTTCCCATTCAGGTGGACACACCTGAATTCACACTTGGACTCTCACTTTTTTTTTTCCTCTCTCCAGGACAATTTCCCCCCCATCCCACAATTTTGTTGTTTATCGTTCAATTCCAGCTTTACAGGAAAAAAAAAAATAGGTGTTTATTACATATCGCTGAGGATTCAATTATTTGCAGTTAATCATTTCTTAGTTATAGCCAACTTAAACAGCAAAGCTTGCTTTGCCAGAGTGAACAAAACATGACCCTAACTCCAGTGAGGACAGCAGTGAGAAACAGGTTCCCCTGCACCATGCAGTGCCTGCCTTGTGTGGCCATGGTATCTAAAAACGATCTGCATTCTACAAATGTAAGACGTTATGAGGAAAAAACTGCCAAGGCTTTACTGGAAATAGCAGTGAAGAATACTGATGGCAGTATATCTTTAAATTTTGGGGGAATAGTAGTTAATTTTTTACCCAGAGTGCAAGCTAAGCAGATGCTGGCTGTTGACTTTAGAATAGCCTTTTCTGGGGAGGGATGGCATTGCCAATGTAAGTGTTTTAGATACCTTTTTACTAGCAGAGGTGGCCTTTTTGGTTACCCAACAGCATGTTTGCTGAGAAGCCACCAACTCTTCCAAATGAAATGGTTCTTCCTGAAGCCCCGTTACATTGGATGAAAGTAACTTCTCTCAGGGATGCCACGTCCAAACTTTCTGAACAGAGCTGCGCTGCTGCTGCTGCTGATAGGGCTCCATGCATTCACAAAGAGCTTATGTCATTCCAACTCCACCTATCTAATGTTTTCTCAAGATAGCCCCGAGTCAATCTCATCTCCTAGCATAGGTGCTAAGAAAGGAAGAAAATGTGATTCATACTAACATGTATGAGAGCCCCAAGAGCTCTTCCTCAGCAGCTGTTGGAATCGCTTACATAAAATGAAGCATTGATACTAGATTTGCTTTCTCAACTAGGCTCAAAGAGGGAGACCATAAAACCTATCAGCCTCTCTCCAGGACTGCTGTGCACTGCTGTACCATGAATTACTGATGATAAATTGATTCCAATTAAAAAAGGGAAGGAAAAAAAGGCGATATAACTTATCAATGGAAAAGAATGAAAAGTAGCTGCTCTCGAGAACAGGTGTAACTTTCAGCCCAACATGAAAACTTGCTATTTCTGGTACTGCTTATAATGGGTAAACTTATTTGCTAATGAATGAGCTTAGGTTTTACTGCAAACAAATCAACATTCCCTTATTTTCATCTCCAGCAGGCTTTGGTTTTTATCTTTTCCTCAAGTCTGGTCTAAAATTTGCATGAAGAGAAATTTCAATGTCTGTTTGGCTATGCATGACTTCTGTAGTATCACATTTCTCAGAGTACTGCCTTACACAGAGGGGAAAGACACGTCACAGGCTTTAAGGAGGCAAAATGGGGAGATTTCACAGTGCTTTAATATGGTATCAAGCAGCTCAACAGGTCTGTGGAAGTGAGGAAGAGCAAGCTCCAACAGGTCCTACAGTGCAAGCTTTGGGAATCTAGGGCCCAGGCTTGGAAAGCATTTTTTTTATCTAAACAGCTTCTCAGAAATCAATAATGAAAGTGTATAATGAATGCCCTTAGATCCACATGGATGGATTCTGATTTTTGACTCCAGTAGGAAGATAGCTTCAGATGGAGCTGGGTCAGAAGGAAAAATTAATCCGTTCCTGGAACTCGTGCCTGCTCAAATTCCTCTGTTCATGAGCTTATTTACTTGGGCAGTGCAATGTGTGCAGTGGAGGAGGAACAGAAGTAAGGATGTGAATTCTTTTTTAGATCTATTACAATTTTAGTACAGGTTACTTTATGGTTACTTTATGTTCAGGGTTATTGGCGTGTTTGTTGGTTTGGTTTGGTTTTGTTTTTTGCAGTAGCTCAGTGGAAAGCCTTTGAGATGCAGCTTTTGCAGAACACCACTTGAATTCAGCCAAAACCCAATTTCCCCTCCCAAATAAAAAAAAAAAGACATGTTTGTGCCTTTTTTTAATAAATGCATGAAGTTCAGTGTGGAATTTAAGCTTAAACACAAACCTCATAACCAATATGAGAATTAATCAAATGAAAATTAAGTGCTGTTACTGAAATGAACATTCTGAAGACTTACCATTAACAGCTTTCTCATAATTCTTCCCGAGATTTATTAAATTCCGCAGTCCTGGATTGAATTGTTCCATTACATTCTAGGAAACAGAAAGTTCATGTTACAGCCAAGGAAGTCAGCAGTGGAGGAAAGCATTTGTCTCAGTGCCACTTGGTTATGCACAGCATGTGTCTGAAAGGTCTGTGGGTGGGTGACAAGTAGAAGACTTGGAGGGAGAAATGAGTTCATGGTGGATGGAAATGGAGCATTCATGGTCAACGAAGTCTAGAAGAATTGGGCTTAAGTGGGGCTCAAGAGGAATCCAGTTGTTTATAACATAGAAGGATGCTGAGTATGAAAGGAAAGTTTGCATAGATCTTCCTTGTATGAGAGGCGATGGAAAAAGAACCGTGGAAGAAAAGGGTTCTCCACTAATTGTTTTCTGAAGTCAGAGAGTAACAAGAATTTTCTGATAACGGTGCAAGATTTGAGCGCTGCAGCCCCTTCCCCCCATATAAATAAATGTGGGGAAAAGGGGGAGAAGAAAAATAACCAGATACCTGATTAGAGAAGGCTAAGAAGACTTTTTTGTTTTGTTTTAACACATCAAAACAAACTGCAAAGTCCTCCAAGTTACAGGTGGCATTTAAAGGAAGCAGTTCTCTCTGCTCTGGTTTGGAACTGCTGCTTTTTATTAGGAGAGCCATAGTTCTTGGAGAGATGCAGTGAAAATGTGGCCCTGTTTAAAATGGTTCTGAAGATTCTAGACCTTCTTTTCCCAGACCTTTCCTAACAGAACTGCAGCCATGGAATCACTCTGGGGTTTTGTAAGATCAGGAGATCCTTCAAGAAGGCGTCCTGTCATTCTGGCTGCTCTTATGGCACTTTGTAATGGCACAGCTCCTGTCCCTCTGGCACCATTCGCACAGCAGGACTTTCAAGTTTGAGGAATTCAAAACAAACATTTTGTTTACAAGAAATATAAGACACACAACCAGTGAAATAGTATCAAGATGCTGTCTGTTCCTCAACTAACAGAACGTAATTATTTCTATTTACTGCATGCGTGGAACCAGAAAGCACAGGAATGCCTTCACACGTGTTTTATTTTTGGAGAGGTCATTCAGATTGAACTTCACTGTTTTGATTGTAGGGCCATACGTGGTGAACTCCTGTCAGTGTTAGAAAGCAAAGCAAAGAGTGAGCTTCAGATTCCACCAGTAATGTTTTGACAGGTTGAGTAAAACACATCAGAAATGTACAGAAAGGGGAAAATGCAAAAGAAACAATGAAAATTACATGTACTGAATGCTTTTAGAATGAAAAAAGGTTTTGTCTGATTTTTTCCGGGTGTGAGCTTTATGTGAAATAATGCTTTCAGTATTTACTTCCTAATCACATTACGTATTTCATTGGCACCTGCATGTGTAATATTGCTGGGTCTGGATGATGTTACAGATTGACACACCTCAGGCTGACGGCACTGAGGGACAACATCCCCTAAGGAAGGGCTTCAGTATTGATTAAATGCCCACAGTGTTGCTTCCCCCAGCTAGAGAGCTGTTCTGTCAACATATGTTGTCATTCTGTGAATGGTTATAAAGCTGCTAGGTGCTGATAAATATATATTGACATCAGCAGTGGACATGCAGTGCCAGTAATTAGCTCCGTCGCTTTTGTTTGTACAAATTTAAAGCAATGGGAATTGCTTTCTTGTATAAGCCACTGAATTCCCACCTATCCAAACACAATCACTGCAAGCAAACTTCCCTGTTGTCCCCAGGCCCTCGGTCTGTGTTAACTCACAAACCACATCCAGAAATGGTTTGGGAATGTGTGTTTCAGGTTGGGCCAACAGTGCCAACGGCCATTCTGACAACTTCCAAGCTCCAGCATCTGGGAGCACTTCTCCCATCCCAGCTGCTTAACTGGCTACTGGAAATGTGCTGCTGTGCCAGAATGGACCTCTGGAGATCATCTGGTCCAACCCCGGGTGCTTCTGTTCTATAGGGTGTTTCTTCCTCTTACCACCTTTCTGCTTTTCCTTCCCAGCAGCATGCTAAGGAAGATGTCTGCTGGCACATGGAGCGGATGAATCACGAGAATAGAATGGACAAATCATGGAACTGTTTTAGGATAGAGAGCCCTGTGTTCCGAGGATCCAGGGGAGGAGAAGGGCGTACATGGAAAATGTGCATACACACAGCAGGTAGGAATCCCAGTGCCACGTCAAATCTCCACCTGGTATTGAAAATCATATTCCTGCAAGACAGATCCGCCCTTCCTTGCCCCACCCCCACAGCAAGAAGTCAGAAGCCTTGCTGCCACCAACCCCATTATTTTAATAGCAATGTCCTGATTACTGGCCTTCACATACTGATTTTTTGAATTAGTCTCCTAATAATTCCGGGGTTAAGATACAAGTGTTCTTGAAATCTTCTAATTCAGACTTCAAGCAGTGACTGCACATGCCTCATTAGTTCTCATTTAGGAGGAAGTGGAAAAAAACCCAGCAAGAATGCCCTCAGCAGCTCCCCGCCCTGCAGCCCAGCCCCGCAGATCTATTTTCAGTAGCTGCACTGAGACACGGCAGGCAGTCATAGCGCAGAGATTGGCGGCACTGCGGAAACACGGCTCGGCTCAGCAGAGCTCACAGCTCCGCAATCGCAGCTGCTCTGTGTGTGAAACTGCTGGGAACGACGAAGAAACGCCGTGTGGCTCCGTGCCTTCGGTGGCTGGAAGCACACAGCTCAAGGACCTTTTCTCTACTAGACCAGGCGGTCTCTGGAAGTTTTTCAGTCCCTGTGCTGCCACAGTGGCTTGTTGTTAGCAGAAGTATCTGACCAGTTTCTAGACACGAATGCCTCAGAATCAGTGAAAAGTTTTGCAATGGAAATTTCTCTGGTAATTGCTTGGTTTAACATGGGGCATGCTTAGCTGGCCCTCCCAGCACTGCACAGGGCTCAGCTCTTTCCTCCTAAGGGTTTGTGTTTGACGGACATAAACCTTTTCTCCCCTCTCCCCACTGGAAACAATCTAATGAAATAATTTTTAGTTGATTTTTTTCCTCTCCTCAGCATTACAGAGAAGAATACAGGGAAGGACAATTGTTTTGTCCTTACTAGAGGCTGGATTCTGACAGCAAACAAAACCTGACCTTGCTTCCAGAGCTCACTCTTTACACAGCTGAGTGCTGCTGTCTTCAAAGCAGTGCCATTCCAGGCTGCAATGTCCAGAGCACTTTTTCAGAACAGGGAGCCTGGCAACTCCCTGTTCAGCAGATTGGTAATGCCAAGATATTTTACACCAGAGCTTTTCAACCCGGGCCATTCTATGATTCTATGATCAGTTCAAACGGTTGTAATATTTTGTTGAACTTCAGAAGTTACACAGTTAAAAAAGCTATTCAGAAATCAATTTTTATGTTAATTTTCAAATGATGTCTGACTAAGGAAAACGTCACAAAAATGACGGGGGCTGAACCCCAGGGCAGTATTGCTGGTCGTACAGCACAGCCAGATCCGAAAACAAGCAGAGTCAGAGAAACAAAGGATTTCTGCCCAACAGAACCAATAACTTCAAATTGCCCTAATTGTCAGCTAACTTCACAATCTTATTATCTGCCGAGGTGCACAGAGACACTGAAACAAAACCTCTGTCTCAACCCAACTAGACATGACAAAATAAGAAAAAAAGCTGAGGAAGTCGTTCACATGGCATCATCTGGCTGCACAGGCAGTAACACAGCCCAGGCCTCCTCACTGTTGACATAGTGTCCTATATTCTAGTGACACACTAGCTCTCGTGAACAGAATAATTAACTGGAAGAGAACAGAAGGCACGTGATTAGATCCTACAGCTTTCTATTATTTAGGATGAATGGAAATGAAGGGGAACACTTTTAAACAGGGCAACTGGAAACATCTTCTTATGCAGCCAATATTAGAGTTGGCACAATTGTCTGAAAAAAGAGCTGAAGAGGAATGTATTCTGATTGCTGGCATCACTGAGCCATCATATGATCTGACATGAAAGTTGCTGTGTGCTCTTTGCCACAAGAAACCAATGCTTTTTAACCAAGCTGGCAGAAAGGAGCTGCCTGAAGAGGAGCAAGCTTTATATTTCCACAAGTTGTGCATAAGTATGGTATCTTCCTCAGTTTCTGATAGCCGTACAAACAACGTTAATCTTCAAAACAAATGACAGCCATTGTAAAAGTGCCTTCCTGTAAGTGTGCAGCTTTGCTTTTCACATGAAGACACACCTCGCAGCACAATGGCTCAGCAGGTACGGCGCTGCTGAACAATGCTCAGACTGCTGGAGTTTCAAGCTTACATCCTGCAGCCACTTTGCCAAGAGTGGGTAACAATGTATTCAGCTAGAAATCCAAAATCACAACATGAACGCAGAAAAGTCGGTCTAATGTTAATTGTATGACTAGCGCATAGCTATTCATAGCTAACCTCTGCATAGACACCAACAGTGTTGCTCATATTGTTCACTCAGAAAAGACGGCTTTTTTTTTAAAGTATTTTGTGTTGCTACATTAAATCTGCAAACCTTCTTGAGGAGATTCAGGAAGCCCTATAGAAAGCATATCATAACGTGCTCTCTTTTGTACATTATTACATCTCATTCCCTGCTTTCGGTGTTGAAATCCACAAAAAAAGCTTTCAAAAGGGCTGGACTCAACACATCTCATGTAAAGCCGCCTCAGTCGTACATTAGCTTCATATTGTTTTAAAACAGGTCTAGCAGAATGAGAGAAAATCAGGATGACTGTTCATTCAAAAAGGCCAATTCTTATGACTAGTTATTAGTCAGCTTTATGTCTCTCCCATCAGTATGCTTTGAATACAAATAATTCCAGTTTATGAATATGTTGCCCGGGAGAGAATACAAGTAAGGTCAAGATAGATAATTTGTGCTAAGCTGGAGTTGGGCTTTACAAACACACGACCTCCTGGGGCTCCTCTACCCCCAAATTTGGATTTATACTGCAGTGATTCAAAGCAGCTCCTTCCCTGCAGCGTGCCATGGGTGAACTGCAATTCTCCTAAGGCAGTCGAATGGCAAGGCTTTTTTAAACACAGAAATGGGGAAGTCAAGGTTTTAAACTGAGTGGATCAGAAACATCCCGATGAAGCAAGCTTACCGAGTCGGCTCTACATGGCTCTGCTCAATCAGAACAGCACTGTGCCCCACGGAACAAGCAAGTCACACACTTGGGGTGGAAATGAAAACTTCTGGCTAAAATTTACATTCGTGTAGAGAAATAAGTCTTTAAAATGCAAGGTTATCAACACCTGTGAATTACCAAGAATTCCAGAAGGCTCACCACAGAGGGCTGACACGGCAGCTTTGGGCACAGCCCTCGGAGCACACGGGCAGAACAACGGGCCCATAGCTCAGCACTTCCATCCTCTGCCCCCTTTCCCCTGCTCTGCACGTGTCACCGCCCGCTGCCAGCCTTCCTCACCACGCAGCAGGGAAAATGCAGTGCGGTGACACAGCGAGGAGCGCCGCTACCGCGGGTCACAGAGCGACGCGTCTGCGGAGGCCGCGATGCCCCAGCAGCACGGCGGTGCCGGGGCTCCCAGGGCAGGGCAGTGCCCAGCAACCCGCCCAGCTCCTCCTGACTCACTGCCCTGCGCCCTCGGGCTTCATTTGGCACGTGCCATTCCTATCGTGCGCTAAAGTGATTCTTCGGGTATTACATAAAGAGTAAATGTCAGCCTTCGTTTTGGTGTGCGCACATATTTGTGGGTTATGCTGTTTATTCAGTCAGGTTAGCTAAAAAATGTGGAGGTATTCACTTTCCCATGTTGTTGCCAACAAAAAGGATGACTAAGATAAACATACAAAGGCGTTACTTTTAGCCACTCGATGCCTTCTGTGGGTGTATTTTGGAGCTACGTATAACATGGGTTACTGTGTATGTAATAAAGCCGGTGGATTATCATTGTAAGAAAAAAGAAATGGCAAACACGCCAAGCCAGGCACTCAATTTCATTTTCTGCTATTTTTCAGGTTGATCTTTTTGAGAAGCTGAAAGCCCACTTTTGGTCCTGCGGCACATGGATGCGCTACACTGAACCGGTTTTGTCAGACCAAGGCCTCTTACTGGTAGGAGAAACAAATACCGCCGCTGGTTTTACGGGTACGAGCCTGGTGCTGTTGGTGCTGTGCTGCTGGGACAGTGTGCAGCAGCAGTGACCCACTGTATGGGACAACACGGAGCATGCTCAGCGGGCAGGAAGCACGGCACAGAGGCGTTCGTTTCTCTGAGTGAGGGAGGTGTAACTGTAGTCACAGCAGACAATGAGTACACAGGGTAGTTCTGTCTGCCTTCGTGAATTATTCTACAGATTTTAATCTTCGTACAGAAGTAACTATTCTAAAATAGACCCAGATATATTCTCTGCCTGAAACAGCCTTCATACCTTACCTGGATAAAGTTTCATGTTGTAATGAGGGCAGGGCAGAAGGGTTTCCAGGCCTGTGAGCACTGGCTATGTGATGCAACATACCAGACCTCTCGAAATACCCACACAGGGGACACTCCATCACACTTCAATAGGAACTTTGCATTACTGTGTTCTTGATGGTTGCTTAAGTATCCCTTTGAATTAGTTTAAAAAATAATAAAAATAAAAATAAACAAAGAAAGAAGGGGAATACTTGTGAGGAAGCAAGTGCTGAGTATTAGGAAACGGTGATGTTCGTTTAGAGTTCTTTGTTCCTTTAAAAGCTGTTCTATAGCACTCAAGCAGGAGATTTTTCTTTCCTCTGTAAAACTATTTTAGCTGCATTCTAGAAGCCAACAGGCAGAGCAGGGCACTCCTTCAGCACAGCCCCGAGGAGTCAGCTTCTCTTCTGCAGGCTGTATTTACAGCCTGCTTTCCTGAGAAAAATATAATGTGTGTTTGCTTATGGCCTTGCCGTGAATGTAACCGATATCACAAAGCAGCAGATTGTTTAAAAAGACCTTCACTCATTTTAGAGGACAACATTAATAGCCAAGGAATCCTTTTTTTTTCTTTTTTTTTTTCTTTTTTTTTTTTCCTTCAAGTAATTTTGCAGTAATTGGATCCCTGAGTCCAGAGAAATGAAATAGAAAATACACCACGGCCCCAGTATAACTGGACTTCCCGAAAGAGTAAAGTTGACTTTAGTGTGTTGGAGGACAACAAAACAGCAAAGTACTCTGGTCAATGCTTTTGGAGACCTTTAAACCGTAACGACACCCTCAGAAATATGAAAACATTTGATAGTAAGCCACTAAGGTCTGGTAAACAGGAAAATAGATGAATCCCCACAAAGCTTTCTTCTGGGCTCGAAGCTGCAAATGCAGCTCTAAGTTCATTTGCATGATTAAATACATTTGCAAAATTAAGTGCTTTCCGTGGCACAACGCACCGCACAGAACAAAGACTTTGGATCCTGGACTGCAATTGCCACGCAACCAAAAGTAGGATTTTGACGGGCAGGTTTCTAAGGGCATTTTGCCCGATTAAAATCCGCGTGCCTCGGGCTGTTTGTGGGGAGGAAAAGTCCAAGTGTCTGCTGCCAACATACAGAATACTTCTCATTCTACTATTAACTCGGCATTCGTAGAAAGTTTAGAATCCTGCCGACGCGAGGCGGGCTGCCCGCTCCAGCAGGCGCTGGTTTGTCCGCACAGAGCCGGGGATCAGCCCTGGGCTCAGGCCGGCACCTTCGCTCAGCCTTCAGGCCCTGCCGGGCGCCGTCCCGTCCCGGGGCGCAGCTCAGGCGAAGGACCGCGACCTCCAGCCCCCAGCCGCCCCTGAGGAAGCCTTTCTGGAGATCTCGGGGCGGCACCGAACGCAGGCGGTCCCGCTGCCCGCCGTGCCCTGAGCCTGCAGCCGCAGCCCCGTGTGCCACCGCCCCGAGCTCACGGCGCGGAAGCGATCGCCGGGCAGGCTCTGGCACACTGGGATGGGCGAGATTACTCATGAAACGAGGATAAGGAGAGGCTCACTCCCTTTCCGCGCTCCCTGCCCAGCCTGCCCTTCGGTCCCCGCCGGCTCTGCCCTGCGGAGAGGC